CATATGTCGGAACATCAAATGTTCCTGAGGGTCGCGTCCGTCAAATACACATGGAGGCAGGTATTTTCGGTTTTGAATATCCCAAAACAATTGCTAAGGAGGATTTTGATCAGGTTTTCAACCATTCTGAATTGGGCGTCGGTGTTATGCATTCATACATCAGGTACTTCGATCCATTTTAATTAAATAATTGAACATTTTAAAATTTGCTCGTTTAAGTGAATATTCTAATGTTGATTATGTTTTTTTAGGTTCTTGTATGACAAGTTATTGGTCCCGAATGAATTGACTTCAGTATTCGCATTCTTATCTGCTAGCTGTGTCAACTCACGTATAATAGACCAGTCACCAGATACAGTCAAAGAGTACACAGTGCAGAGATTTATGCGCGCGACTACGGAGAAGTTGTTCTTGTTGCCATATAATACTGGCCATGGGTTAGATTTTATTCTAAATTCATTTATTATAATTGTTCGATTTTTCCCTTTCTATATATATATATATATATATATATATATATATATATATATATATATATATATATATATATATATATATATATATATATATATATAACATTTCCGTCTAAACTGTTGTCTTATTTTATAGTAGACATTGGTTGTTGATCGCAATTAATCCGACGAAAGAAATAGTGTATTATATAGATTCATTGGATGGCGATACAACAAAATATAAAAATCTGAGGAACTTTGTTGATACGTAAGTGATGAGATATACTGTTGTCTTTAATTATATATCTTTATTTATTATGTGACATTGTTCTAAATATGCGTTTATATTATGTTAGAGTTATACAAATATTCAGAGCACAAAGAGATGCAACGGTGCCAAAAAGTAAGGCTAACAACATCAACTGGATCAGAGTGGAGGTATATTTTCGCATGTTTGACTGTTATAGTGGTTCTACTTGATAAAACTATTTAAACTATATATCCTGATAAATGTTCGTTTGTTTTTTCCATTTACAGTGTCCTCGGCAGCGCAATGGTATTGACTGTGGATATTTTGTATTGCGCTTTATGAGGGAAATTATTCTTTCTAGTCAACTTGAGATTCCAGTCATGGTATGGATCAATTCATTATATAAGTTATATGATTCATTTTGATAATTATCCGATACTTCATCTGAGTAATTAGTTTTAAAATTAAATCTTATTCGATCTGTTATATTATGTAATATTTTGATGAATTCAAGTGCGCTACTTACACGAAAGCAAAATTGGAAGAAATTAAAGAGGAATGGTGTCAATTTATTCTTGGGTTGAGAATTGTATAGAGTTATCGGATTGGAAGACTTGTAATTATATGTGAATTGAATGTATTTGTGTTGTTGTAATTTTGAGGATCGAATTTTATTGTAACATATTTAAACAGGTTTATGTGTATATTAAAATGTTTATGAACAAAGTCATGAGTTACAATGTATCCAAAGTTTTGAATTGTACATATAAGGCCAAAGTTTGAATTGTATATTTAAGGTCAAAGTTTGAATTGTATTTATAAGGCCAAAGTGTTGAAATAAAGGTCTGAATTATAAGCAGGTTTGTGTAATATAAGCAGGTTGTTGGTAAAATATACAAAACAGGGTGAATATTTAAAAAAAAAAATTAAAATCTGGGACATTAGACAACGCTTTTACAAAAAAGCGCTGCTAAAGGTCATAAACATTACGCTACAAAAGCGCTGCTATATGTTTGGAAGGGGGGGTCTAAGACAACGGTTGTAAAAAGCGCTGCTAAAGGGTGGGTTATGGCAGCGCTTTGTAAAAGCGCTGCTAAAGGTGGGGTCTAAGACATCGCTTTGTGAAAGCGCTGCTAAAGGGGGGGATGGTTGGGGGAATTATGCAGCGCTTACAAAAGCGCTGCTAAAGGTGCTGCTGAAGGGAGCTTTTAGCAGCGCTTTTTCATTGAGAAAAAGCGCTGCCTTTACCTTTAGCAGCGCCACTTTTGGCAGCGCTTTAAAGCGCTGCTAAAGGCCAAAACAAGCGCTGCTAAAGGTCTTTTTTGGCATAGTGTTTATCAACCAATAACACAAGCTTCCTAACTTAGACAACTAACTTCGTCATTCCTGAAATGTTCAGATGCTTAAAATGGTTAACCGAATACGACTTACATTTACTCACTTCACTGTCACCATACGATACATAACTTTCAATGCAAATTAGATAACGCAAATGCATCAACACATCTTACAGAGATCCCACAAACACACTGTTAAATATAAGTATTTGCAAAATCCGCAACTATTAACATTCAATCAACATGCTAACATTAGTACTCACTTCCTATACTATACATTACTTTAAATAAATCTTACTCAAAGCCTACTTGCAAATTCACATAACAAAAACATCCTATTAAATTGATAACAACATCATTGTAAAGCACATGTAACAAAAGCAACAGTTACAATTCACTCATATGCTTAACACAACATTACCTTCCACGTGATGGGACAACCTTATCAACATCTCTAGCAACTGGGGCCTTGCATGCCCTAAATTCCGCAGGACGTGTCACAAACGTTGACTTCAGTATGGATCTGCAAGTCGTTTAAGCATACATCATAATGTTTAATCTATCAATATTACAAGGACATTAAAACACATTATATTTAGACTCTCACAACTAAGTTTACTATTTGCCTTACAATTTTTTTGCATGTCGTGTAAATATTATACCTAACCATGACATTGGGTCGACCCTCCCCTTACTTTCCATGGCATCCATCATCCGCAGTGGTCAAATCTACAGTCACATCTTTGTTCCCAACTCCCTTCAGTTTAGGGAGATCCTGTTTGCTTCCTAAAGCCTTCGCTACCAGCATTCGGAGCTTCTAATCAATCATTTCTTTCTCCCTCAGCCACTTCTGATATGATCTGCATGCAATAAATGGGAACTCAATGGATTATTATATTCAAATGTCGAAATCGTTGGCATGCATAAGTTTTTAACTTACTCCGCCTGTTTCCTCGCAATTGCAACAAGATCCATGGGAATGTCTTGCGCCGTACCTTCGTTTCTTCACTTACTTCTCACAAATCCCTTTTGATAATTGCAACACCTTCGAATACCTACCGCAAGTTTTTCTTTATAAAGACCCCAACCCTCTTTCCAACATCACTTTGGAGAACTACATCACTCAATCTTTTTAACACTTTTACTGTTTATACTCTCAAACGATGTTTTTTCCCTATCTGTTCCAAATGTCTACAACTTAACATGTTTAAGTTATCATATTTTATTTACTTATTTAAAATGTTTTGGTTTTTTTTTTTTTTACGGTTACAAAAACATTTACTCAGTTTTTTTTATGGCATATGAAACACATCACTCTATGCACTTTCCATTTCTATTATTTTGATTTTTTTTCCTTTTACTTTTTGGACTTTCACATTTTATATTGTTTTTTGTTTTTAATCTATATCATTTAAGATATGGCTTTTACAAATTATTTTCTTTCTCCCTTAAGTAGCTTTTTATATTTATTAATGTTTTTCATATTTCATATAATTTTAATATTTTTAACTTTGTTTTTTTAAATTTACTATTGTTTTTTTTTACTCTTCTTTACTTCAATATTTTTATGCATTCAATTGTATATTTGAATCAGTATTTGTCCGAATGTACGAGTATCCTACTAATTTATATTAAAATTAATTTCTAAATAATATTTGAATTTATATTACAAGAATCATATAGTATTAAGTAACATTATAAAAAATTAATTGTAAGAATCAAAATGAAACAGAAATAAAAATTGTTAAAATTAAAATTAAAAAGATAATATATTTGTAGGGAGTAATATAATTTAAGATAAATTTAATTATTGAAATTTTCTTAAACATTGATTTAAAACATGTGAAATACAACAAAATAAAACATGATGACAAAACAATATCTAGCTAATGAGTGGGGGGCAAGAACTCCACGTAACAACTGATAACAACCACAGTTAAGTTAGGTAGTTTTTTTTTTTTTCTAATTTCTTTTATAAACGAATATCCTCCTCCGCATATAACAAATATTAATCTTTCGAACCATATTGAACCATATAGACAACAACTCATATAGTATCACATTTCTAAATAATAATAAAAAATATGTTTGTTTCTGTGTTTATATGTTTAATTTATTTATTTTTTAAAATTATTAATAATGTTTCTGTATACTATCTCCGTTTTAAACTGTTGTTCATTAATTATATTAAAAAATAGACTAAAATAATAAAAAGAAGAGATAAAAAGTATATTAAAAAAACTATTAATATTTAATTGGAATTTTAAAATAACTTATAATTTAGTATTAATATTTTTTAGAAAATCTTATAATTTAGGTCAGGATTTTTTAAAAAGTAATTTATAATTCAGATATTTGATTGAAATGAATTGGAATCTAAAATGGCGAAATCTGATCAAGTGTTGATTGAGTAGGTGGGAAATTAATATTTGTAGGGACATGCACATAATAACCATTATTGGAGAGTGAGAGACATGTATATAATTAGTGTCGGTTGCAGACTTTCACTCACCACTGCACTCCACAACTATTACTTTCTCACTCAATAACTACTAACATGCACACCAATTGGGGACGACTTCTAAAGTTTTGATAAAGAAAGATAATGTAATTTTAAATAAAATAATTTATTTTTAAATATAATAAATAAATTAATAATTTAATAATATATTTCATATACATTTAAAAATATCAAAAATAAATTCTAGCATTTATAAATTAATTTGAATTGGAAATGATATATTTGTAATTATAAGATTATAACATTGTAATACTACTATTATAGTAAAATGCAGCCATGAACCTTTTAATGTTTGAGAAATAAGTTGGATGAAGTTACCTAACATTTTTAAATGTGTAGATAAGAATTAGCTTTGGCAAAACCTATCTTATATGAGTACTATATATCTCTCTCTCCTATCAGAGGTTGAAGCAACAAAAACAAGTTTCCCAACCAACATCATGACAATCTCATCCTCTGAGAACAAACATGTGGTAGTATATGTTTTTCCCATTGGTAGCCATCCAATTCCACTCTTGAGCCTTGTTCTCAAACTAGCACATGCTTCACCAAACACATTTTTCTCATTCATTGGCACCCAACAATCTAATCAACCTCTTTTTACAAAACCAAACATCCCAAGTAACATCAAGTTTTATACTATTAGTGATGGTGTTCCAGAGGGTCATGTACTTGGTTTCCACCCAATTGAAAGAGTCAACTTTTATCTTCAAGCTGGTCATCAAAATCTCCAAAATGGAATAGATTTAGCAGTTGCTGATACAAAAGAGAAAGTTACATGCATCATTGCTGATGCTTTTGTTGTTCCTTCTCTTGTTGTAGCTCAGAAACTCAATGTTCCATGGATTGCCGTTTGGCCTCCTTTATCATGCTGTCTCTCTGCGCATTTTCATACTGATTTTATACGTCAAAAATGTGCTGAGAACAATGCTAAAGATAGATCTTTGGATTTTCTTCCAGGTTTGTCTAAGATGAGAGTTGAAGATTTGCCGGAAGATATCATCAACGTGGGTGAAGATGAAGAGACACTATTTTCAAAGACACTTGCTTCATTGGGTGAAGTGTTGCCTAAAGCTAAAACAGTTGTTATGAATTTCTTTGAGGAATTAGATCCACCTTTGTTTGTGGAGGATATGAGATCAAAGTTGCAGAAGATGCTTTATGTTGGTTTTCTCACTCTTTCAATTCCTCTACCACCTTTGCCACCATCTGAGAGTGATGAAACTGGTTGTCTCTCATGGTTGGACAAACAGAAGGGCACATCAGTAATTTATGTTAGCTTTGGAACTGTAGTGACACCACCTCCAGATGAGCTTGTTGCACTGGCAGAGGCATTGGAAGAAAGTGGATTTCCATTTCTTTGGTCACTAAAGGATCATTTGAAGGGTGTTTTGCCACAAGGGTTTGTGGAGAGAACTAGTGATGTTGGGAAAATTGTTGCTTGGGTGCCTCAAACTCAAGTTTTGGGACATGATTCTGTGGGAGTGTTTGTGACTCACTGTGGATGTAATTCAGTTTTTGAAAGCATTTCTAATGGGGTGCCTATGATATGTAGGCCATTTTTCGGAGATCATGGAATGACAGGAAGAATGGTGGAAGATATTTGGGAGATTGGTGTGAAGATTGAAGGTGGAGTGATTACTAAAAATGGGTTGTTGAAGAGTTTGAAGCTGATTCTTGGGAAGGAAGATGGAAACAAAATGAGAGAAAATGCTCAAAAGGTGAAACGTACAGTGCTAGATGCAGCTGGACCAAATGGTAAAGCAGCACAAGATTTCAAGACTTTGGTGGAAATTGTTTCTAGCTGATCTTAATTAATCTGTCACCAGTTGCATGTTATTTATGATTAGAGAAATGATTATTGTGTTCTATGCAAATAATTTGAGACAAGCAAATGAAGCCCATAAAAAACTTTTCATCTCATGAAAAATTGGATTACATCTTTGCCATGTGTCATGCTATTATTGAGTAGGTGGATATGATGAAAACGTATGTGGGTATTATTGCCACGTATATGTAAGAAGGGTGATGGGTTATTTTTAAAATTTATCAAATTGTCAAGTAATATTATAATTTAAGTTTGGAACCATATGGATTGTTCTAATTTATAAGGCAATAGTTATTAAATTGTTAAGTTTGTGTGATTTGGAGGTATGTTTAGCATGTGCTTTAGATTTGTAGAAAGAAATAAAATTATAAGAATTAATTAAATCAATTTGATAAATAAAATTAGATTAGTTTATGCCTTATAATTATCTCTTTAAAATTATTTAAAAAATTAGTAAATTAAAACCAATTTCTTAGTTTAGAGTTTTTTTTTTTAACACAATTTGTAAACTTGATTTCAAAGGTAGATTCCAGTAATCAATTGGATGTCTTTTGTCCTATTTCTTTAGTATAATCGTTTTATAAGCTTTTTGTCAAAGTCTTTAGGGGTAGGTTTTTTGTTTCCCGATGTTATAGATAAGCTTATTTATTCACACTAATCATCATTCCCCAAATGTAGGTTTTAGTTGATAGGGTGATTGCTATGAATGAGTTAACTTAGATAAAAAGAAAAAAAAACTATCTCATTTTTAAAGTGGATTTTAAGAAAACTTATTATTCGGGTATTTGATTCTTTTGAATTATATTTTTTTCTAAATTAGAATCTAATGATAAGTGGAAAAGTTGAATTTATGTTTGTGTCTTTTCTAACAATCTTAAGGTCTTGTTAACGGTTGTTCGACCAAAGAAATTAGTATCTAAAAGGGGTTGAAACAAGGTGACCCCCTAACTCCTTTCTTTTTTCTCTTAGTGGACGAAGGTCTCTGTGGACTGCTCTCTAGAGTTGTGGAACTTCATCTGTTTTCGAGTTTCATAGTGAGATCCTCAGATCGGGTGGTCTTCCACCTTCGGTATACGAATGGCACAATTATTTTGGAAGATGCTTCCAATAAAAATATTTGGTTCACTAAGGCTATTCTATGAGGTTTGAGTTAGCCTCAAGCCTTTAGGTGAATTTTGTAATACCGTAGTTTTTAAATTAATTTATTTTATTATGTTTTATATGTTTAAGGGTGTGTTTGGTTCGGGGTAGATGGAGGGGAGGGGAGGGGAAGTTTTTAATTAAATATGTTTGGTTTAAATCTTAGGAAGAGAGGGGAGCAAAATTCCTCCAAAACACACTTTTTGGCTCCCTCCGAATTGAGGGGATTTGGAGGGGAGGGGAGGGAATATGAGTTTTGATATTTAAAAATTATTATATTTACTAAAATATTCTCAGTTTAATTTCACTATTTCAAAATTATTCGTTTTTTTTTTTCGTGTTACTGTTTTTTCTCGATTGTTTCCATCAACTTATTATAATTGTTCTCCACCTTCAAATTATTTTATAATTTCTATACTTAAGATAAATCATAATCATTGTCTTTTTTTTATAAAAAAAAATTATGTTTAGTTATATTCGTTTTTTTCTTTTAATTTTGTTATGTATTCTATCATATTTTCTTTTATATCAAATTGTAAACCATTCATTTTATGTATTTTTGTTTATTTATTTTATTAAATATTTTGAACCATTAATATTTAATTATAAGTTATTTTATATATTTGTTTTGTTATATGATTCATCACAATTTAAACGATGTTATTGGCATATAGTTTAATTTAGGTTGGAAAGTTATGAGAGTTTATATTTTTTAAGAGAGTTTATATTTTTTAAGAGAGTTTATATTTTGTATGTTTTAGATTGACAAACAAGAGTTTATATTTTGCATGTTCAATATAGTTTGGAAATTCCTATTTTTTAAGAGAGTAGCCAACATGAATATGGTTTTATATGATATGGTTTTATATGTTATTATGGTTTTATATGTTGATGGTTTTATATGTTGATATGTTAGTATGGATTTCTCAATATTTATATGATATGTTATTATGGTTTTATATGTTTAGTTAGGATTTCTCAATGTTTAGTAAGGGTGTCATTTTGGTTTAAGGATTATCTAGTATTTTTAATATGATTTGTTTTGGTGGATTATCTAGTATTTTTGTTTTGGTTAATTATGAATATGATTTTAATAAAATTTATATTTTGTCTGCTATAGGGGTTACCTGTGAAGAGAAAAGTTGTGATCGTTTCCAAGCATCCTACTGTGTAGCATTCTTAGAAGTTAGTGATTTCTTTACAGGTATTCTCTGTTTTGTTTAACTTTCATAGTTTAGTGTAGATTACTCAATTAGTATGGATAAAAAATGGATGTCTGGTAATCGACTGTCAAAAGAGTACGAGAATGGGGTATCGAAGTTCGTTAAGTTCGCTGTTGAACACGCCAAAGACCCCAGTAGGATCACATGCCCTTGCTTAGGATGCTGTTATGGGCGTCGAGTTGACACCGTTAAGTTGGAATCTCATTTAATGAGACATGGAATTGATCGAAGTTACACATGTTGGACATTACATGGTGAGATAAGTAACGAGAATGTTGAACCCCGGAATAATACGACATGTGCTTCAAAGGACAATGGCAGGGATACATATGATTGTGATCGAGTCAAAGAGATTGCAGAAGCACTTGAAGAAGATCTTCAAGATTGTCCCAAGATGTTTGAGAGGTTGGTAAGCGATGCAGAGAAACCGTTGTATAAAGGTTGCACTACTTTCACAAGATTGTTCGCGGTATTAAAGTTGTACAATTTAAAGGCGGGTAATGGATGGTCGGATAAAAGTTTCACAGAGTTGTTAGCCCTACTTCAAGAGATGCTTCCGGAGGATAATGTTCATCCCAATCGAACCTATGAAGCCAAAAAAATGTTATGCTCTATTGGCATGAGCTATGATAAGATACATGCTTTTCCAAATGATTGCATTTTGTTTCGAAATGAATATGCATCATTAAATGAGTGTCCTAAATGCGGTGTATCTCGGTATAAGAAAAAATTGTCACCAGCAAAAGTATTATGGTATTTTCCTATAATTCTGAGATTCAAACACATGTTTCGTAGTGAAACAGATGCAAAACACCTGACTTGGCATGTATATGATAGAATTGTAAATGGGAAGTATCGACATCCGGAAGATTCACCACAGTGGATGAAAATTGATAATGATTATCCTGATTTTGGAGAAGAAGCTAGAAACCTTCGCTTGGCATTATCGACTGATGGAATGAATCCGCATGGTCTGCAAAGTATCTCACATTCCACCTGGCCTGTAATTATTATGATTTATAACCTACCTCCATGGCTATGTATGAAGCGTAAGTACATGATGTTATCTATGTTAATTTCTGGCCCTAAACAACCAGGGAATGACATAGACGTATACCTGACACCTTTAATCGAAGACCTAAAGAGTTTGTGGAAGAACGGTGTGGAGGTTTATGATGGATATAGGAAATAAAGTTTTAATTTGAGGGCGATGTTGTTTGGCACAATTAATGATTTCCCAGCATACGGAAATCTATCGGGTTATAGCATTAAAGGTCAATATGCGTGTCCTATCTATGAAGAAAACACAGATTGGACGCGGTTGGAATTTGGTCAGAAGAATGTCTTTCTTGGTCATCGTAGATTCTTAAATTCTAATCATCACTACCGTGGGTGGAGAAAAGCATTCAATGGAAATTCAGAACAACATAAAGCTCCACCTACATTGACCGGCGAACAAATTTTTGAAAAGGTGAAAGATGTGAGTACTAAGTTTGGCAAGCCTTTTGCTCATACGCTTGTCACGCGTGGGTGGAAGAAGAGGTCAATTTTGTTTGAGTTGCCGTATTGGAAGTCGTTGTATGTAAGACATTTTCTTGATGTTATGCATATTAAAAAAATGTATTTGAAAGTATTATTGGTACGTTACTCAATATACAAGGAAAGTCTAAGGATGGCCTTAAAGCAAGAAAGGACTTGGTAGCAATGGGAATAAGAAATGAATTAGGACCCTTGAAGAAAGGAAATCTCACATATCTACCACCTGCTGCTTATACTTTATCTAGAAAGGAGAAAAAGATATTGTGTAAGTTTCTGAGTGAAGTTAAAGTTCCAGAAGGATACTCTTCAGATATTAGAAGACTTGTTTCTATGAAAGACCTCAAGTTAAAGAGTTTAAAGACACATGATTGACATGTTATAATGGAACACTTTCTACCAATAGGTATATGTGAAGGTGAGATAATACTTAGAAGGGGGGGTTGAATAAGTATGAAAGATTAAGACTTTAAAAATAATGACACAATTATTTTTATCCTGGTTCGTTTAAAACAACTACTCCAGTCCACCCTTCCTAGAGTGATTTGCCTTTCTCAACAAGGACTTAATCCACTATTTAATCAAACAGATTACAATAGTAACACCTAACAACAACTGTTCTTAGTCTTCTCAAGAGCTACTGATTCCAACTGAATCCTCTTAAGGAAAAACCTTTACAATCAATGTAAATCAAATACAAGAGTATTAATGCTTCTATAAAACTTTTATCACAACAGTGATTTTTCTCTTAAGTTAAAGTACAAGAAATTCTAAGAAGAATATGAAAGAATGAGAGCTTAGAATAATATGATTTCTTTTCAGCAAATTGTGTAACTGAAGAATTTGGTGAAGACTTCCTTTTATAGGCAGCTGATCCAAGGATGCTGAGCGTTGAAAAGAGAGTCCCAAAAAGGTCTGAGCCTTTTTGTCTTCACATCAAGTGACCTTTCCTAGAAGTAGATAACACAGAAAAATCCTTTTTGTCTGTGTAATTGTGTCTAGCACAAATGAGGAAAGAGACGTTGATTTACTCCAACAGATATAATCTTGAATATTTCTTCTTCAGTTTTCAGCAAGTTCT